CCTCTCCTCGTGCACGAACAGCTGGATAGAATGGAATTTACGCAGCTCATTTACGCACGTTTCCTGAAGATAGAAGTGTTTGTTGAATCTGACGTGACATGTTCGTACGAACCCTTTGTACGAACAAAAGTAAGAGAAATTTAGGAGAAGAATACGAACATGTTCTTGCATGAGGCCCAATGTATTTTAGATGGCTGTGACCAGAATTGAGATGTTCCACTGTAATGCACAGCACCATGTTTGTCAAAAAAACAAACTCATCGTATCAGCTGTCCAGTATGGTCTTCATTTTCTTTCATTTTCCCTGGACTAGTGGATCATGTGGAGATGGATGCACATATTTTAGTTTCCATTTTATAATCTTAAAAAAAAAACTATGGAGGCATAAAAACGATTCTCACTGTTATATTAAATATATATATATAAAAACACACAACTGGAAAAGTATCATTAACAATTTGGACTATCATTTCTTGGTGTACATATAAATAACAAAAACAAAAGACATCCATTAGGGTTACAGTAATTCTTCGAATTTGCCTATTTCAACAAGACTCCATGTCAATTATAGTAGTACATGTAGGACTGGACAGTTTGGCTAAAATTTATATTACGATATAACTTCTAATTTTAGTTGAAACAATATAATTTCAATATGAATAATAATAATGTCAGATAAACTGCCAAGAACACCAATATTTACTGTACCTACAAACCTTTAAGACATTAAGATTGTGATTAGTCAGAACAAAAACATATCTCAAATTCATTTCATGACTAGTCTTAACTTAATTATTGATATCTGAATTATATGTTTCATGTAGTCAGTAATTTATTGCAAATAATTGCATTTGAGCCCCCATACAACTTAATGGTAAATCTGACATTTAGTCAAACCAATTTCAGATATGTGGAATGCCATATCCGTCTGTTTTTGCAGCATCGTCTTAATTTGTTCGACAGCTGCTGACGGGGAGATGTTRATGTTTTATGAAGAGGGTTAAAACTTTTCAGGTGCTTCATTTTCACACTCAGAATGTTCTATTGAGTGAAACTTAGACGATGGAACAGATTTTCAGACTGAAGGCTGAAGTTTATCAGACCTTTGATACACAAACCACTTCCACACCACTGAAGTATGGTCGTTTTTTCTTTCCTGACTCTTTCTTCTGCGTCTGTTTTCAACTGTGCTTTTTTACCCACCGCTGTTGAGCTCATTATGGCACAGATATCCACTGTGTGTAGGTAGTGTTGTTAGCATGCTGTAAACAGAGCGGTAGCGCTGAGCTCTGGCATTGAGCCTGTGGTGTACGTCATCATGCACTGACGCAACGTATATCAATCAAATTTCTTTAAAAGACATATCACAGTTATTGAAATGTTTTCTATCGCAATAAACAGCTCTGGCAAAAAAACAAGAGACCACTTTAAAATGATCAGTTTCTATGATTTACTCTTTATAGGTAAATGTTTGAATAAAAATGAACATTGTTATTTTATTTTATGAACTACTGACAAAATGGGTCAGAAATTTCAAGCAAATTTTTTGCAGAAAATGAGAAATGGTCAAAATAACTAGATTCAGTGCATTCAGACCTCAAATACTGCACAGAAAACAAGTTCATATTCAGTTACATGTAGAAACAACAATACTAATGTTTTAACTCAGGAAGAGTTCAGAAATCAATGTTTGGTGGAATGCTCTCCACCAAATACAGGGAAACTGTGCAGTGGTCTCTTTTTTTTTTCCAGAGCTGTATACGAATATTGAGTTATTGTCCAKCACTAAGTGCATGACTGCTTTTCAGCAGCAATAATTACTCTGAAACTTTCCAAACCAACATTGTTTAGAGAGTTATCTACAACAGGTGACATATTTATTCTTCTTAACATTATAGCAAAACCCCACCTGAGAACAYCTGAGATACTTTAACACACACCTGAATGAAACCAAGCAGCAAACTCCCAAAACGTGTGACTATAAAGCTTAGACTTTGTGAATGTGTGAACTTTACAACTTGTTCAGAATAATAGGATAAGTTTTTTTAAATGTCTTGTTTAAATAAAGAACTATTGTTTACCTTACTATATTTTCTTTGAATAATAAAGCTAAAGATGAGATGCAGCCTCTGTCACCTCTCACTGCGGTCAGTTCACCTCCACATTGCTCACTTGCAGTTCTGTGTCTCCAGCTGCAGGACCGGACTCAGTTCAGCGACTGCGATCTCGTCCAGCTGAAGCGCTACTGGGACCGAGGCATGACGAGCCTCGGCTCGGTGTGCAGGGAGAAGATCRCTGCCGCAGCCAACCAGCTCAACGTCGACACTGAAATAGTCAAGGTTAGAGAACGTCACAGAGAGGAAGTTGCTGTTTTATTCTAGGTTTAATAACACGCAAAAAAAACAAAACATGTTTTTTGTGTAAACTTGTAAATCAGAGTGATTGTCCACGGTGTCACTTGCATGTGTTCTGATCAGATTTGCACATCACCAAGCTACATGTAGAGGTTGCTATGGTAACAGCATAGAGGTCAGTAACTATGTTACGCCACTCGTGACGTGGATGTTTAACAGATTTTTTTTCCAGCTGTGTCTGTAGTGAAGACACCTTCCTCAAATCGTAACAGGCTTTTGTTTGGCCAGCTAAAAATAAATCAGAAACTCACTTTGATCTCAAATAAAGGTTAGTAGCCTGGTAAAAACCAGCCCCTTGTTCAACGCTTTGCTTCACACAGAGGGTCCAGAACCTCAGCTATTGAGAAGCGATTGTTTGCTGGAAGCGTGGACTCTGTTGAAGTTTAAAATGATTGGATCTGATTTACCCAATCGCTAACGTTTGAACTTGACATATTCGGTGCGACAGCTCGACCATGAAGGAAGCTAAGCTAAGAAGCTAACCAGAAATTGCGTTTGCTGTAAACAACCATTCTCTATGGGAAGAGAGAAGTACCGAGCCAAACGAGACGACTGTAAATGAGAGCTGCAGGCTTTATGAGACAAATTGAATTTAATTTGGAAGCCTTATCAACACAGACTGGTTTCATTCAATTCCTCCGCTGCCGGTGCTAAACGACAAGCAGACACTGTGCAGAAAATCAACGTCGTCGTTCAAAACTCCGCCTTCTGTTTTCTGATTGTCCTGATTAAAAATCTACTGGAGCAATCCTTGTCTATGGGAGGAATCCCAGACGGAGCAGAGAAGGGAGACTAGAATTAAGCAGAACTGTGTAGGAAGGCAAGAGCCAGGCTAAAAGGTTGGTATAATAAAATAAAAAAGATAAACTTCAGGCTGACATGGACTCTTCAGGGCTAAGAGTATTTTAAGTCACGGACATTTTTTTAATTTGTTTACACAAAGTTGTTTAAAAGTCATGCAGTTTTATATCAACGCCACTGTTAGAACACAAATGTGCTAAATATAGTCCCCCCATGTCCTGGCACACAAAACACACACACACACACACACACACACACACGACCCTCTGCCGTCTTGCTCATTTTTCTCCTGCAAAGAAAAATGTCTTGACTTCAGGTGCTTAAAGGATAGGTGAAGGTCTTTAAGCAGTTTTTTTTTTGTTTGTTTTGTTTTATGTTTTTTACTTTTGTTGGTGGTCAGGATGATTTTCTACCACCTTGCCTTCAGTTTATTGAACAGTTTGAGTTTTTAATAGAGGGTTGATGTGTTTATGCTGAGTTAGCACTCATGCAACCAATTTCCTGTTTAACGTCTCTTAAGTGTGTTTTTGGCAATCRAACTATTTCCACATACTTTGTGCTATTTTAAGCATCTTTTATTAAATTGTTAGCTCAGTTTGAGCAGTGTGCTGGGACTTAGTTGTAACCTTTTATATTTTACAAAGTGTTTAACTGTATTAAAAAAATCATTTTAGAAATACATTCATATCTCGTTAACTTCTTCAAAAATTATGTTCTTTACATACTCTATTTTTGTTTACTTTTACATACTTTTACTCACTACTAGCTTTTTGCTACCATTCTGCTCCCTTTTACTTTTAGCTGTAGTTTTGCTAATTTTAGCTACTGTTTTGCTAATTTTAGCTTTGTCATCTCTTTGGTTCCTCCTATTCTGCTGCTTTAGTTTTTAGTGTTTTTCTGCTTTTAGCTTGTGTTCTGCTCATTTTAGCTTTCTGTGTTTGTTTTAGCTTAACCAACTCAGTTTCATCCTTAACAAATTTCATCAGTTAATCTACAATTTTACAGAAAATGACATTTCACAGGGTCGTCACTGGTGTTTTTTAATTTTTTTATTTTTCAGACATGGATCAGCAACAGGCGCAGGAAGTACCGTCTGATGGGTATTGAAATYCCCCCTCCTAAAGGTGGACCTGCTGTATTCACAAGCTCACCTCCACCAGGGAACCGGTCTCCAGTGGCCCTSAGCCCAGACGGCGAGCAGCTCGGGACACCTGACCTGGTGGATGAGCTGAATGACGGGGGATCTGTGTGCATGTCCGAGGGTGAGGACGCCTTACATATTGCATGAACTTTTGTGGCCGAACGAACTGTGCAGAGAAGCGTTCACACTTTGTGTCTCAAATCCAGATGGGACCGTGGACTCCCAACACAGAGATGGAGAGGATGAAGCAGATGTGTCCACTGTGCCTCTGCTAGCCGATAACGTGGTACTTTATTGTTATTTTTCTAAGAAGTAAAATTATTTTGAAGTGGGTTCTCTGGAAGAAGATGAGCAGTTAACATCTTATCGGTTTAGGTAGCTTTTTAAACAACTTCTGTTAAAGGGAATAGTTCAGTTTTGACCAGAAAATCCAAATCTCCAAACTGAGGTAGTTCAGCAATCTATCTGCAACAGGTATGATACTAACTGTTCATAAACTTTACGATGAATTGCATTTGAAAATAGCTGAACTAGTCACATAAAAAAATCACAGTAGCTTAAACAAAAGATGTTTGATCAAAGATTGCCTCGAGTTTTTTTCTTGAGTAAACTTCTAAAAGCCTGTGTACGAATGCAGCATCCGAAGCGAGCCGGTTCTTTTCCTCATGAGATCATCAGCTGTCTGCTCTGCGTTTTTGACAGAAGATCGAAGTAATCGATGAGGATGAAGAGGCTGATGATGACTTGGTGATTTCAGACCTCGAGCAAATGCAGAATCTGCTGGAATTCAAGGTGAAAGCACGCAGACCGATCAAACACCGGTCCTGCAGCGTCGGTGCAGGAMCGCCAAGGTTAAACAGCAGAGCTTTAAAAAGCGCTGCAGCACTGCTCCGTGCCCTCGAGCTCTSAATTCCTGTCCTGTTCTTGTGTTTCAGCACGAGGAGGTGCAGTTCTTAGAGAACGAGCTAGAGAACCAAAAACAGAAATACCAGGAGCTTGCAGAGTTCACGAAGAGCCTGCTCAGCGCTGTGAGGAACAATGACCTGGAGAGACAGCAGGTGCGTTCACAGTCAGAAATACTAAGCAGGATGCTGTAATTGTGCGTTTCTAACCTGGTGTGTGTGTGTGTGTGTGTTTAGGAACTTTTAGCCAGTCTACCTCAGCCTTCAGACCAGGACTGGGACCTGACCGTGGAGAGAGGAGCYCAGTCGGACGCGACGCCCAACCACGACTTCCAGGCAGACGGCGCGAGCGGCACACACCCTCCACAGGTCCACACAGACGAAGAAATCCAGATAGTTGGCGTGAACAAAAGTCACACAACAGCTGAAGCTGCTGAGCCCTCTGCATCAGAGGAGCAGCTGCAGGAAGCAGCTAAAGAACAAAAGTGACTTTCCCCATCGGCGCACAAACACACTCGTACAGATATTYTCACACTCCACACAGATTTTACACAGGAAGGACTGAACGGTCCAACAGTTACAAAATAAAAAAGACAAAAATTAAATAAATAAAACCTCTGTTAAATTCATGCACAGTGCCTGAGGATTGACGCTTCACTACGACTGTTGGGACTAATGCCTTTTTTACTGCATATCATTCGCCTTGCTCTGGTCCTGTCCAGAGAGAACAATAAATGACCTCTAACTTAACTGTTTGTGTCTGTGTGTGTACTGAGATTTGTTTTTGTTTTTTCAAACTGAATACAAAACAGTACAATCAAAACAATGTTAGAAATAAAAAACGACCAATAAATAAACAAATGTACTGTAATTAGTCAGAAAAAAGTGAAGCTTACAAATTCTTACCCTTTCTCACAAATCCTCTTTACTAACTATACAAAAAATATTAATGTACTAATTAAATAGAAAAGAAAAACTCAATAAGGTAGAGGTGTTTAGTAACTATCGGTAAGTACATTTACTTT